AATGATTTGGCTTAAACTTACTGACAATCACCAGTAGCCAGAGCGATGGTGTAAATCTTGCTGGGTTACCATGTAGGTAGTAGACGTATCGAAAGTCCCCATGGTACCTAGTATGGTGACCTACCTTTGGTTATTGGTGATCCATAGCCCATTTTTATTGTGTACTGTTATGAATTGTTTCAAATTTTATGATGATATGCTCGTTTTAAATCTACATCTGTGATAGTCTAGTGTTTTTACTGTCCTTTGTCGACAGATTTTAATGTCTATATTTATGTATTATTAATGTCCAACTTGATTAAGTCAGGATATGGCTGAAATATTGCCGATGTGACTATAAATCTTAAATCAATCACTCAACGCCCGGACAGGGACACTGTATGATCATATTGATGATGATATCGCCGAGGTCTTAGGTGACGAGAATATCTCAGTTCTGTCAGAAAGTATCAACATAGATAGAGTGTCATGTGATAACATTGTAAACAATGCCTGAAAGTATCTCTTAAATATGTGTGCCGCTCTCGACTTGTCTATTCTAAATGGTCGCTGTGGTACGGATTCAGGTATTGGTGATTATATTTACATCGGTTACTAAGGCTCCAGTGCAATTGACAACATTTATTGTATCCAACTTTTTATTCTTCCACTGTAAACACATTGATATTGTGTCGAGGGCAGAATCCTCACATCTTCCACTATCTTGTTCATTTCTAGCATGTGATCAGGAGATTCCCGTTGAAGCAGCAGGGACCGCATGTGCGCCTCGCGAAAACTACCGCTATGTGTGGGACATGGCGAAACTACAACAGTTTAGAGATGAACTAGTATTGCCTCATGTGGTTGATTGTTTGAACAATGTACTCTGTTACTACCAGAGTGTGTGAGTTGGGTTTAACACCGCTTTTAACAGTATTCAAGTTATATCACAGCGTGTCAACTTAATGTGGGAGGATGATGCAGGTCTCCGACGTTTACCACTTCGGTGAAACCCTCAAGCACGGGCATGGTGCTGACAAACCTAGAAACATGATCGGGGCGAACCGGGATTCGAACCCACAATCATAGGTTTCTGACGTGTCCAGTGGATGCAAGTCTGCACAGCCAATCGCGGCACCTTAGACGACTGGGCCACCCGTGCCCCCTGTTACTACCAGAAAATATAGATGATATTATTATTTTATTCACAGAAACCATTTGTACAGCTGCTCAATGCATGAAAGGATTATCTCAGATTGTGGCAACTTGTGTAGCTTATGTATCATGATCACAGTGGGTCGATCATATAAAAAACGTGTTTCACAATCCAACAGATGAAGATACGGGAATCACCGAAACGACTATTAATGATATTCATGATGATATGCCCTGTAATATTCTGGACTCCCAAATTTCACAAGAGGTGCTATGTGCTATTAACTCTTTGAAATTTGATAAATCCGCAGGAAATGACCACCTTATTTCAGAATATTTTAAACATGCTTATGATATTTTTGTCCCGTATCTTAAAGTGGTGTTTAATACTTTCCTGATTCTGGGTCTTTGGGAGTTATTTTTCCGATACATAAGCGAGAAGGCATCCATTCCCAATCCAACCATTGGTGTCTATCGGTTCTTAGTGTACTGAGTAAGTTGTTTTCTACTGAGAATCTGTACTTTACTCAGAAAGTGTTATCCCAAATATAACATTTGGTACATTTGACCACTTTCTAAATGGCATTGTGTGTTCATACAAATGTGTTGTCTTGGTAGGTAAATACAAAACGTCAACGAATGATTATTCCTCGAAACAGATTCCATTCGCGAAAAGGGGGATATTATGTTGTGATATTATATTCATAACGATACTTGAAGAGACTAGTACACACAGTTAAGAAGCTCAAGCAAATGTTAATAAACAACTGTTAGGAAGATCGACCGGTCCTACTCTAACCCCCTTCAGTTGTAAAATAAGTCCGCCCCAACACATAGTAACAGCGTCATATAAAAACGCGGCAGCAGGTAAGGCGAATAAGTTAACATGCAGTGTCACTGTGTCTACATACAATATGTCGGCCGGTAGGCGTCCTTGAAACCAGCACCGTGACGCTGATCTTGGAAGTGGGCAAGTATGCAACGACTCTTCTAGCAACTATAACACTGCGAAGTGGTACTTTTTGTCTGTATTACTGAAACAGACTACCCAGTGAAAAGTTGATTTCAGTGATTTCAGTCATTGTAGATATGATCGAACTTGTATAATACATGCTCGGGTACTCGGTATTCACTCCTGCACGTTTGTGTATATCTGCTATAAAACATTTTACCAAGTCATATACCACTGTGGCAGAGGACGCTGACATTGAAACACCTTTCGTGAAGCTTTTGTTTATACTTGGTTTATCAAGTATAGCATTGTGTTGAAGTGACTTGTGTGTAGACTGAATGCGGGATTGCTCTGTTGTATGTGTAGACGTTTTAATGATTGTTACATTGACCTCATTTATCCAAGGTTGTCAACTGTCAGTTTTACCCAATCAAGCTCGGATTGTAATAGTTAAATGTCAATGTCAATGTAATCAAGCTTCATTAGCCACAAATATGTAGACATACATTAATTCCGTAAACTGATGAAATGAACTTCTAATTAATTTCTGGTAATCTTGGTAACAAGGTTAACGTATAGCCTATCCACTATTTCACATTGATTTATATGTAATTGTAATTGTAGATCTAATCCTGATGATATTCAAATGTGAATTGTGCTCTTAAAGACATAATAGTTCCATACAATAAACTGCATAAATAATTTCGATGGAAATAGGACTGAGAGCACCAATAAAGTATAGAACAAGTCAAATGCTGGGCCGACATATGTGTTGTTTGTTTGAGTAAATAGTTATGATATTGGAAGACGTACATGTGCCTCACGTGTTGAGGAACGATGATACATTGCGTTAACCACTTTGCTACATTGTCATCCCGTTTGTGGCTACAGTTTATACGTCTTTACTATTCCAAAACATATATACCACGAAGGAAACGTCAATGTGTTTCTCAAATGTTGTTTTCACAGTTGTCTTTGTAGAAAAGGTTTCTGAGATAAACCGTTCGAAATGCAACGCAAAGATGAATCAACACCAACAACAGCTGCAAGAGCAACATCATCATTAGCGGCAAAAGGGTCATCCACACAATCAACAGTGACAGTCTCAGAAACAGGATCAGTCCCATCAACAGCAACTGGCCCGACATCAGCAGCAACAAAAGGGTCTACAACTCAAACACTATTAAGCGGAGCTAAAGTGCCTCAAGATGACCCGACAACAGTTCATGCCTTCCCTGGTCGTAAGTAATTCTTGATATTACTTTTTAAGGGAGGATAGTTCGGCTTGGATTTTCTTTAAATGTTTGTGACTGTTATCATTGTGTATCTGAACATCAACAGAAATTATGACAACGGGCATATTGCTTCGCAACGGTTTGTGTATTACAACCTCGAATAGGAATAGAAACGTTGTATGAGTGCGTGGTATTGTAAAACACGTGTTAGAAGTTGTAAGTGTTATGAAAATAACAACATCGAATAGACAAGTGCGTGCTGAAGAACTCTGGATAAACATTGAGTCACAGGATACATTACCGTTAGTGCAGGGATTATGTTGTAAACTGTACATAAATTCCTTTCAAATTATTCTCCATTCATCTTTTACACTGACCTCCTATTCAACTATCTGCTGTGTGAGTATGATAGCTGAGTTTTGGAATATAATCTTGATGATGTAAATACAGATGACTGTTTGTCAGCTCGTCATTCTCAGCTGTAATCATCCTTTTAGAGTCAATGAATCCTCATATGTTCACGTCTATATTGTGTTTAAAGGTTCCAGTGCTTCATATCGCCCAGGCCATATTATCAAAGGAACAGACGGCCAGGGAACGACAGGCCAATCAAACGTAGCTGGGGTGACAAATGACCAGCATTATACCCAAGGTAATGCTTCCTTCCTTCCTTCCTTCCTGCCTTCCTTCCTTTCTTCCTCACTTACCTTGCAACATGAATGTCCATACCTGTAAAATCACATGCAACTTAGTTGTTTTTGAAGCTCACTCCCACACATTCACACATTCACTCAAGGAGTGAATTCATGAAGTCCATATATCTGGGACTCCGTTTGTTTGTTAACATTAAACTTCTAAACTAGACAGGCGGGAAGAGCTTGAAAATCTAATTTTCCTCATGGCGTTTAAATACATACACAGGAACAATCAAAAATCAAATTCATCTGAGAACCTATTGGCCAGGTTATGTGGCTTGATTGGCTGCATTTCATCGTTCCCTGATGGTGTTTGACGATGGTTATAATATTCAGATTATTCACCTATTGTTTACAGGATGCCATTGTTTAGCTTGACTATTGCTGACAACGGCATCAAACAACAACTAACTGTGAACGAACCCGGTGAACAATAGTTCCTCTATTCTTTCTAATGTATTTCAGGAAACACGTTTATTAACTGCCGTTTTCATGACATGGCAGCCGAGGATATGTCCCACGGGAAACAAACTGTTCCCATCAACAGTGAGTAACCTATTGTCTAGTTTATGCTAATAAATACGACAGAACCTGTACATATTCATAAAATATCTCTGCCATAAGTAGAGTCGATTGTACGATTCCGCATGAATTCATCACTTGTACTTCGAGGATGACCAGAGATTGTTTGACAATGACGGTACTCGCCCAAATTAAACACGCAATATTATTCTGCTTCTTATTGTGTGACCCAGCGTCTTTCGCTCGTCACGCCGGAGGTCGGGTTTGATTCTGCACATGGGCACAATGTGTGAAAGTCATCGTGGTAGTACCTGGAGTTCATCCATACTTACTGACAATTGTCAGGTCCCTTACTTCTTTACATTTGTATATAGTGATCGCAGACGTAGAACGAATTACCCGAGTCTCAATGAGTTACTTAATACAAGACAATATGATGTAGATTCATCATGTTTCCTCCAGATTCTGGTGACCAGGAGTCCGTTTCAGAAGACACACCCAGAGCAGAGGGGAAACAATGGCGACAGGAAGGAGGTAGCTATTTTTTAGCGTTTAGCTGATCCGTTACAAAACATATAACGTCCATAACAGCAACCATGACAATATCAAGCTGAGTACATCTGACTGTAACGGCGTGTGAGTGAGTGACTTTCTGCAGTATTTCAGTCATACCATAATACCTCAGCTTCATGTTTGAGCAGGTCAGTGAAGCGGGTCGTACATGTTCAGCTTTTCGGTGAGAACCAATCGTGGGCAGTATGGTGATAAATCAAGGACCATCTCAGGTCGAATCTGGGCTTAAAACCTCCGATCATAGAAACCTGGTGCGACACAAAGGGACGCAACTCTGCACAGTAAACTGTGGCGCCTTACAACTCCGTCTCATTACATGGGACACATGTATGCCTTGAATATGTTATTAGTGCACACGAAGATAACTACTTTGAGTTAAAGGAACAGGTACACTCAATGAATCCTCTAAGTTGCCACGCCGTTACTATTTCCAGGCCAGCCGCCGCACCTGACTTCCAAGCGGGAGATGGAGGAGGGAAACATGAAGCTGATCCACGTGGACCGGAACAACATGCTGAGTGAAGCCTGTCGAGAAGGGAAGCTGGGCATAGTGAAGAACATCATTGCCACGGGGTCTGTGGACATAAATACCAGGAGCGAGGGTGGCTGGACACCTGTGTTGACTGCAGCAGATATAGGTTATAGGGGCATATTTGATGTGTTAGTGAGAGAGGGATGTAATTTATCTGCTGTACTAGACAATGGCAACAATATTCTTCACGTCGCTTGTTTTGGGGGCAATTTTGACATCACTAAATATCTGGTCTCACATCGTGTAGTCAGTCTGGAGAGTAAAGGAATGTGTGGTAGAACGGCTGTGATGGAAGCGGCAAATGCAGGACACAAAAGTGTGTTTGATCTACTGGTGAGTGCAGGGTGTAACTTGTCAGTTGTGGATGATGATGGTAACAACATCCTACATACTGCATCTTTTGGTGGCAATGAACGGATTGTTGACTATCTCATCTCACATGACATAGCTGACATAGAGAGCAGAGGTCAGTATGGGAGAACTGCTGTCATGTTGGCAGCAGCTGATGGTCAGACGAAAGTATTTGATCTCCTGGTGAGTAAAGGGTGTAACCTGTCAGTAGTGGATGCTGATGGTAACAACATCCTACATGCTGCATGGATCCGTGACAGTGAACGGATTGTTGACTATCTCATCTCACATGACATAGCTGACATTGAGAGCAGAGGATGGTGTTGGAGAACTTCTGTCATGTTGGCAGCAGCTGCTGGTCAGGAGAAGATTTTCAATCTACTAGTGAGTAAAGGATGTAAACTGTCAGTTGTGGATGATAATGGTGACAACATCCTACATGTTGCATGTCTCAGTGAAAGTGTACAGATTGTTGACTATCTCATCTCACATGACATAGCTGACATTGAGAGCAGAGGAAAGTGGGGGAGAACTCCTGTCATGGTGGCAGCAGCTGATGGTCAGGAGAAGGTTTTTAATCTACTGGTGAGTAAAGGGTGTAACCTGTCAGTTGTGGATGATGAAGGTAGCAACATCCAAAATGTTGCATGTCTCGGTGACAATGTACAGATTGTTGACTATCTCATCTCACATGACATGGCTGACATAGAGAGCAGAGGAGGGTGGGGGAGAACTCCTGTCATGGATGCAGCAGCTGATGGTCAGAAGAATGTATTTGACCTCCTGGTGAGTAGAGGGTGTAACCTGTCAGTAGTGGATGATAAAGGTGACAACATCCTACATGCTGCATGTCTCAGTGACAATGTACAGATTGTTGACTATCTCATCTCACATGACATAGCTGACATTGAGAGCAGAGGCAGGTATGGGGGAACAGCTGTCATGAAGGCAGCAACTGATGGTAACAAGAAGGTTTTTGATCTTCTGGTGAGTAAAGGGTGTAACCTGTCAGTAGTGGATGATGAAGGTAACAACATCCTACATGTTGCATGTCTCAGTGACAATGTACAGATTGTTGACTATCTCATCTCACATCACATAGCTGACATAGAGAGCAGAGGAAGGTGGGGGAGAACTGCTGTCATGACGGCAGCAGTTAATGGAATGAAGAAGGTTTTCGATCTTCTAGTGAGTAAAGGATGTAAACTGTCAGTTGTGGATGATAAAGGTGACAACATCCTACATGTTGCATGTCTCCGTGACAATGTACAGATTGTTGACTATCTCATCTCACATGACAGAGCTGACAAAGAGAGCAGAGGTCAGTATGGAAGAACTGCTGTCATGGTGGCAGCAGTTAATGGAATGAAGAAGGTTTTCGATCTTCTAGTGAGTAAAGGATGTAAACTGTCAGTTGTGGATGATGAAGGTAACAACATCCTACATGTTGCATGTCTCAGTGACAATGTACAGATTGTTGACTATCTCATCTCACATGACAAAGCCGACATAGAGAGCAGAGGTCTGTATGGGGAAACTGCTGTTATGAAAGCAGCAACTAGAGGTCATCAGAAGGTTTTTGATCTTCTTGTGGGTAAAGGGTGTAACCTGTCAGTAGTGGATGATCGAGGTAACAACATCCTACATGTTGCATGTCTCAGTGACAATGTACAGATTGTTGACTATCTCATCTCACATGACATAGCTGACTTTGAGAGCAGAGGAAAGTGGGGGAGAACTGCTGTCATGGTGGCAGCAGCTGCTGGTAACAAGAAGGTTTTGGATCTTCTGGTGAGTAAAGGGTGTAACCTGTCAGTTGTGGATGATAAAGGTAACAACATCCTACATGTTGCATGTCTCAGTGGCAATGAACAGATTGTTGACTATCTCATCTCACATGACAGAGCTGACATAGAGAGCAGAGGTCAGTATGGGAGAACTGCTGTCATGGTGGCAGCAGTTAATGGAAAGGAGAAGGTTTTCAATCTACTGGTGAGTAAAGGGTGTAACATGTCAGTTGTGGATGATGATGGTGACAACATCCTACATGTTGCATGTCTCAGTGACAATGTACAGATTGTTGACTATCTCATCTCACATGACAGAGCTGACATAGAGAGCAGAGGAAGGTGGGGGAGAACTGCTCTCATGGTGGCAGCAGTTAATGGAAAGGAGAAGGTTTTCAATCTACTGGTGAGTAAAGGGTGTAACATGTCAGTTGTGGATGATGATGGTGACAACATCCTACATGTTGCATGTGTCAGTGACAATGTACAGATTGTTGACTATCTCATCTCACATGACATGGCTGACATAGAGAGCAGAGGAGGGTGGGGGAGAACTGCTGTCATGGTGGCAGCAGCTGATGGTCAGAAGAAGAATTTCGATCTGCTTGTGAGTAAAGGTTGTAACCTGTCAGTAGTGGATGATAATGGTGGTAACATCCTACATGCTGCATGTCTCAGTGACAATGTACAGATTGTTGACTATCTCATCTCACATGACATAGCTGACAAAGAGAGCAGAGGTAAGTATGGGAGAACTGCTGTCATGACGGCAGCAGCTAATGGTAAGAAGAAGGTTTGGGATCTTCTGGTGAGTCAAGGATGTAACCTGTCAGAAGTAGATGATGAAGGTAACAACATCTCACATCTTTCCTGCCTTGGGGGTAGTGTAGACATAGTTCGCCAGCTCCTCGTAGTGCCATCAGTGGACGTGTCCAGTACAAACATCTACGGCCAGACTCCTGTACAGGTGGCACGGGATTTCCAGCAAGACGATGTTGTCAGATTGTTGTCTTCACGGGGATACACATGAAGGTTATTATGAAGGTCACATGCATCTGTATTGTTCAACATCGTTATGCCTGTAACGTTGAAGCAAACACAGTTAAGTGAGATCGACTCTGCCACTAGGATATCAACTCACCTTCTGTGGGGGGTGGAAGAACTGTGTGTTGCAGTTAACTTGTTCGTTTGTTTGTTTGTGATGACGGCAGCCTGTAACTAGTCGTGACAATCGTGTATTGTGGGCAATGTTCCACGCTGTCAACGACACACAGTAAACCGAGGCACCGAATCTGACCTCCAGATGTACTAATTGCCTCTTACGATCAGAATATGATCCTGAGACGTCTGACAAAGAATATATACGAGTGTATAGTATGTTTGGGGTTTTATATGACACGGTCCGTTTGCTGGCATGACGGTATATAGGTCCTGTTGTATTGACTGTGTTACTGTGGTCAAAGTGGAGTGTGTGGTAGTGGAGTCGTGTGTGTGAAGCAATAAATGAAAACAACAAAACCCTTTCCATGATCACGAGAAGAGTCCATTACACGATTCCAAAAGACCAATTGGACTAGATCATAGACGTGTGTTTAAGAATCCATTTTATTCACTGTCACTTTTACAAACAATACTCCAGCAGCTCCAGGCTTTAGCTAGCTTCTAAGTTTCTCAACTTATGGAGAACAATCGAGCAAACTTTTCTTAAGATTATGGAAATGGTTTTGTCTCGCCTATTGGCATCAAGGCAAAGTTGTCTATTAGAAAGTTGAAGTCATCCCTCTTATCACACAGTCTTTTAGATAGGGTTTGTCTCTCTGAATCTTCCCGCACAGTTCGAAATATGAAAAAGGCATAGCGTCAGTTGAGTGTCAAATAATGTAATCCAACTGTTTGCAGACAACAAAGAAATGATACATTTTAATCCTAAAGTCACATACTATTAAACAGGATGTGCATTTGGACAATCGATCATTATGAGACGTTGATAAATAATTTGCATGTGTCTAGTACGGAAGGACAGTTTCCATGTTTTGTGAATGTTTCCATAAATTTATAAGGAGCATGGACATGACAAATGACATACCTGATAGATAGATAGAGTATTGTTCTGTTCCCCTAATTCTGCTTGGAACCGTGCGGTCTGTTATATTTCTCAAATCTTGCAGGTCTGTTAAAATACCAGTGCATACACGTTTTTCATCTTTCCACTGCAATTGCGTTTAGTAGCTTCAATCTATAACTCACTATCTAAAGCCTGTTGAAACTGAGATCAAAATCAGTTTGGAGCATTGATGTAACTCACATATTGTTGATGAAGTGTGCCATAAAATAGATGTACTGGTGTCAGGTGTGTCAGTTCTGTGACGTGACTGGCTGAATCTCGTCATGTGACACTGTACGGTTGCCTGCTGACGTCACTGCCGACAGCACCTTGTTTTTAGAACGTGCCAAGTTGACCTCCAAACTCTCTGAACTTATTAGCCTTATAGAGAAAGCATTAAAATGGATGGGTTTAGAGGCGGATGGATGGATGGATGGATGGATGGGTGGCTGGTTGGGTGGGTGAATGGATGGATTGATGGATGGATGGGTGGGTGGATGGATGGGTGGATGGATGGGTGGTTGGGTGGGTGGGTGGGTGGATGGATGGATGAATGGATCGATCGATGGAAAGGTGGATGTGTCTTCCCTCTACTCCATGTACAGATTATTCAAGTTTCCCTGAACACTAGTTAGGGCCGACTAAAATTCACATTACCTCTCATACCTTTATTAAATAAAATTGTTTTTGACATTGTACGTGACTTTGTCGACTGTTCACGTGGCTTACCATATGTGTATACATGCTTACTGTCTAACTAAAATGCCGCGATTCGCTGTGCAGAGTTGCGTCCCTTGGGCACGCCAGAAACCTATGATTGTGGGTTCGAATCCCGGTTCGCCCTAATTATGTTTCTTGGTTTGTCAGCACCATACCCGTGCTCGTGGGTATCACCGAAGTGGTAAACGTCTGAGACCTGCATCACTCCGAGCTTTCCTCCCTCATTAAGCTGACCCGCCGTGGTATAACTGTAATAACGTTAAAAGCGGCGTTAAACCAAACTCACTCACTAACTAAAATGAGGAGTCATCTTGCCCTGGCGTCGTTATAGTTATGTTTACAAACAATTACAAACACTGACGATGAAGTGTGGACGGGAATGTTTGGCATGGTAAGCATTGAATAAAGATGTTGGTCATCTACGGGAAGAACAAACGTGTGATACAACTGAATTTGATATAATCAGACATGGTACACACAGATCACAATGATACATCAGCACTGGGAAATCGTGTGATAGTTTACAGGAGAGCTGTGAACAGTCTGGGATTTCTCGGAAATAACGATTAAATACACATTTATGCGTCTGTTTTCATTATCTATTAATGACTATAAAAGATCCACTGCTAATCTGTGTTGAATCGACTACTAACATACGCCGATGTAGTTTAAAAATGTTGCTGACTGGCGCATAAATCAACATTCACTCACTGCAGTTTAAGTCGAGGTTGGGCGTCAGGGGAATCAGTCTTACGTCATACAACAAACAAACGCTTACTTTTTTACGCAAACTGTGTAAGTGGTCGTAGCTACTGGTTGTGCGAGACATGGTGTTTCTTTTCGCGAACACCTGGTGTCATCACTGATTTTCAGTGATCAATTCTTATAATGTTCACACACTATTTTGCCTTTTACGTTCAATGAAACGTGTTTTGGCCGACAGAGTTGGGTTGCTATTATCCGTTCGTTTCGTGAAAATAACTCTGAATAGGATAATAGAGTCACTGTACACAAACAGCAGATTAGAGACCCTAATGTTCGATGCTTAGGTGTCAGCAAACACATTGGTGATTGCGGAAACGGGAATTTTACTATTTTTTCGTTTTATAAATTGTATACAAGTAACAAGCAGCTGAGACTGGAAAAAGAACAAATGTTTATCCAATTGATGAAACCAAAATTGAACTCTAGAATGTATTACTAGATTTGTCATTTCAATCGTAAATGTTGCACTATTACTTTACAAATACTGTATATTTAATTCAAATGTCTCCCTACAATGGGCGATCTTTTTGTCCCAAAGGGCAATAACTCTCCTTTTGAAATGATATAAGCGACGGTCCTAACTGTCGCTTCCGGTCTGGTTCCCGGATCAATGCGCGCTGCGACAACTTCTGACATGTAGAGACGGAGCCAAGCTAAAGAGTTATCCTGTTGCACCTTCGTTCAAAAACGGTCGTTTACAACTGAATATTTTTAACTAGCACATATTTTGTAGTGATTATTAGTTTATAATATCAACATTTGTTGAGTCTTCAACTGCAAGACGAATTGTCACTTTGAAATATAGCGGGAAAAACGTCATGAAAAATGGTATATTGCCACGGTATTTTCTACGTCAGAAAACAGCGAGGCATTCTGTCAGTCTGGGCTAACATATTGCATCCATGAAATAATGCAAACTCATTTTATTTATCAGCCTTTGTGTTATTTCCCACAACAATTCAAGCATTCAAATTTCAACAAATACTACCATGGACTTCAATTTAATAAAATTAGTGATACGCCAACATTTGCAGCACACAGACATCTTTGACAGGCCTTTACCAATGATCTATATAGTAAGTATACATCCGTGCCTTTACAAATATTTTAAGAAGAAATAACGTTCAAAATAATAAAACAACTGATTTTAAATGTTACTTTTTATATCAAAATTAAAGTTGCATCTGAATATTTAAATTTAAATTATTATTTTAGAAATAGCCCAAATGAACATCTACCATGCATCTATTAAGCACTCAGTTACTCAGTTGCAATATACATACCAGTCATCATACATTGAAATAAGAGATTTTATTATTCTGCCCCTTATAACATGTGTCCCATCATTAAGTGCTCTGAGTCATCACAGGTGTTAATTCATTGATCCATCATTTCTTACAGAATTCTGATACTCATGCTCTTAAAAAAGTAGTTAATTACCGAGATGTGTCCGAACAAACAACAAATCATACTGACTAGCCCACAAAATGTGTATGATGCATAAATAGATCTAAATCATAGTTTTTATCTTCTTGTTTTAGTAACATTATATTTATTTTAATGTTGACAAATTATTTCCCATACAAACCCACACACTATCCTGCTGTATCTAAGTATCCTGATTTTCATTCGAGAGTGCTTCAAGACACCTGTAGTATAAAGTATATTTTGTAGATATTATTATCATATAGCAAATATGAATTTTATATGTAAATATGAATATGAAAGTTTATCATCAAATCTTCTAGTGGTTAAATAAATGCAAATTAAACCCCATTCATTCCATGTAGATAAATGGATTTATTTATGTTATTTGTTTTTGCATATAACAGATTATACTTACATATGTTACTGTCAGTGTCTATAATCAGGCCCAATATGTATTTTGACTGAAAATTTCAGTCAATATGCATATTGACTGATTCACTCAGGTAAGGTATATATTTTCTTAAATTTTTATTCATTTATTATTGCCTGAAAAAATGGACCGGATTTTAGACAGACTGGCTGAAATGAATAAGACTGCATAATTTAATCTCCTCTATTTAATTTGAATCTATTTAGATCTTATCAAGATCAAAGTAACTTTTGTAAGAAATTAAATATGTTTTCACAATGAATTGATTGATTCTCCAAACCTGGAACAATACCAGAGTCGCTTTTTTATGTTACTTATCATTATTAGCATAATATTCAGTTCAGAAACAGATGACAGCTAAAAAGTCATGCACATGTAATCAAATACTAGTACACATGCACAAGTGCGCCAAGTTATTAAATAAAATAATAAGAGTCATTGTGCAAGGCAGATATCTCTTGGTGTGAAGAGAAAAAAGAATAACATTAATAATTTGTTTATGTTGGAATTTGAATCAGTTGGAATCAGTTTAGAACAAGGAAACATAAAAAGCAAGGCCAAATGAAGTTAAGAATCAGCTTTA